CTTTCTTTCTTTCTTTCTTTCTTTCTTTCTTTCTTTCTTTCTTTCTTTCTTTCTTTCTTTCTTTCTTTCTTTCTTTCTTTCTTTCTTTCTTTCTTTCTTTCTTTCTTTTCTTTTCTTTCTGTTTTTTGCGACCTGTCAATCAATCCAGTAGGCGTGTCAGCAAATGACCAATCAGTGACCTCAATTTTTCCCGAACATAGGTGTCACAACCATTATATGTGAAGGGGACAAGTCCCCCCCACATTAAAAAAACATTCATTTGGACCCCCCCACTTTTACTATGAAACATTAATTCAGGCGGCGCAGTTTCTCTTTCTTTGTGAACGAATCCATTCCACTTGATTAATGGGAGAATACTCAATCTACTAAAACTCCACTCCAGGTTTTCCTGGTTGCCTCCAACTCTCCACCGTCCCTTCCTGCCTCTTGTCTCCGCAGAAAATGCGCACTGGTGGAGGAGGTGGAGGTACCTGTTACTCGCTCGCCAGTTTAGCAGCTTAGTGCGGGCAGTGGTTGACCGGGGGGTTGATCATCAACATGTATTCATGTTAGGAGGATGTTTGAGAGGAGCTGCGTCTGTAGCATCTTATCTCAGCAGTAACTGTGACGCTGCAGGTGGAAGAGACTCTGTGTGTTCAGGTGCATTAAAGGTGAAATGTCTCTAAACCCCCACACCTTATTGTCCTCAAGCTTCATGACAAACATCATTTAGATGAGGAGCGTTGAACACAAGTAAAAGAGTCCAGTGATGGTTTTTATTTCTCTATAAAGACAAATAGTGCCGACCTGACGCTCTGTGTTAAAGTGTATTAAAGTTAAAATGTCTTTAAACCCACAGATGAATTTACACAAACTTGGTGAGAAACATGATTTAAATGTGTGGAATTAAAGGAAATCTAGGAGAAATGTTGATTTTTTTTTTTTTTTTTTTTCACTAGTGAACACCTTTTTTTAACGCCCCACCACATCATTGTGTCCCCCCCCACATTACAGATGCTTTCGACGCCCATGGTCCTGAAGGTAAACGCTCCTTACCTGCGGAGCTGGTCTGCAGCCGCTCAGGGTGGACGCTGAAGTATGAAGTGTCAACCCTCTGCACAGTGCACGTGGAGCCTGCACGAGTATACTGGAGCCTGCAGAGCTTTAGAGTTTAGAAACTTTGTGTGTATATATAATGTGTATATATATACTCTTGAAATATTTTAAACAAAGTTCTAAAGCTCTGCAGGCTCCAGTATACTCGTGCAGACTCCACGTGCACTGTGCAGAGGGTTGAGCGTTTGAGTCTTTTAATTTTTGAATCTAAAACAATTCAAAACTTTCTCCACCAAAATTAATAAATTTGTCCTTTCTCCAAATTTCACGTAGAGTTAAATTCACATTTTGTGGTCCATGAGTCCTTTTATCTCGATAGTTTTGGGCACATATGGAAACGTTTGGACACGCCTGAGCTAAGATCTACGCTAAACACTAATAATGTAAAACAATGTGGTATATTAAACAGCAGCCCGAACATGAGTCTGTGGTGAGCACACGGGTATGAATGAACACTGCAGCATCACATAATCAGCAGCTTGACATAATCAGCAGCACGACATAATCAGCAGCACGACATAATCAGCCGCATGACATAATCAGCCGCATGACATAATCAGCAGCTTGACATAATCAGCAGCATGACATAATCAGCAGCTTGACATAATCAGTAGCATGAGATAATCAGGACTTGTGACCCATCCAGGGTGTACCCCGCCCCTTGCACTGTGATTGCCGGACATGGGCACCGGCAACCCCCGTGACCCACAATGGAAGAGGCGGGTAAAAGATGATGGATGAGATAATCAGCAGCATGAGATAACTCGTATATCATCAATCAAGTGTCATTAACAGTGATTATTCTAGTTAGAGATTCATGAGTCTAACAGCCTCAGGGTAGAAGCTGTTCCTCAGTCTAGTGGTTCTACACTTAATGCTCCTCAACCTCCTTCCTGAGGGGAGCGGGGCAAAAAGTGTGTGTGCTGGGTGAGTGGGGTCCTTCATGATGCAGGTGGTCCTCTTCCTGCATCTGGAGGTGTAGATGTCTGTGATGGTGGGGAGACTGACTCCAACATCTTCTGTGCAGCCTTCACCACTCTCTGCAAAGCTTTTCTTTCTGCAGCTGTGCAGCCTCCATGCCACACGTTGATGCTGGAGCACAGGATGCTCTCCACTGCACACCTGTAGAAGGAGGTGAGGACTGAGCTTCCCAGACCAGCTCGTCTCAGCCGTCTGAGGAAGTAGAGTCTCTGATGATCTTTCTTGATCAGGCTGGTGGTGTTGTTGCTCCAGCTGAGGTTGTTGTTCATGTGTACACCCAAGTACTTGTAGCTGGAGACCACTTCCACCACAGATCCTCCTATATTTGTCAAGGGGGGTTGTTCTGTCTGAAGTCCATGATCATCTCCTTCATTGTCTTCACATTGATGTGAAGGTTGTTTTTCCTGTACCAGTTCTCCAGGTGTTCCTGGAACACCTCTAATGTGGGGGATAAAAGACATGTCCTGATCAAAAATAACACTCAACATTTTTAACTTTAGAGCTGGAGGACAGATTAATTAACTAAGAAGGTGAAAGATTGAAAAAAATCATTCGGGGCTCAGGTCCAAAAACCAAAACCTCAGTCTTGTCTGTTCAACAGGAGAAAATTAAGGGTCATCCAGGTTTTTATGTCTTTAAGACATGCTTGTAGTCTAAGTAGCTGATTGGATTCATTGGGTTTAATGGACAAATATAATTGTGTATCATCAGCATAACAATGAAAATTTATCCCATGCTGTTTAATAATTTTACCTAATGGAAGCATATATAAAGTAAAGAGTATTGGCCCAAGTACTGAGCCCTGAGGAACTCCATGACTAACTTTGGTGTATGAAGAAGATTTATTATTTACATTGACAAACTGGAATCTATCAGATAGATATGATTTAAACCATTTTAGAGCTGTTCCTGTAATCCCAACATCATATTCAAGCCTCTGTAGTAAAATATTGTGATCAACTGTATCAAATGCAGCACTGAGGTCTAACAGGACCAGTAGAGACACAAGTCCATTGTCTGAGGCCATGAGAATATCTTTAGTGACTTTCACCAGTACAGATTCAGTGCTGTGGTGAACTCTAAACCCTGACTGAAACTCTTCAGATTATTTCTTTGTAGATGTTCACGCAACTGACCTGCAACTATTGTCTCTGGAATTTTGAGATGAAAGTCAGATTAGATATAGATCTATAGTTGGTTAGGATTCCTGAGTCAGGGTTGTTTCATAATTAAATATTTATTACAACAGCCTTAAAGCTCTGTGGCACCTGACTGTTTATTAGGACAAATTAAGTTTACAAGGGAGCCATCTTTTGAAACGTCACACTTTTCCTGTGTTGATACAGAAAAACATCTTGTTGACGGGTTCTTCGGTTTCTTTTGACGCGAGAGCGCAGATAATTCCCTGTAGCTGCCGAGACAGGTCGCTAGCTGGCTTTAGACGAGAAACACGGAGCCCTGTAGCCGTGTGCACAAACGGCAGCAGAAAAGCTGCCATGTCATTGAACTACGGAGTCGTGTAATCTGGGCCTTGGATTTAAAGCTTCCTTGTGTTTGAGCGCTGCTCAGTCTCAAATCACAAGATGGAGTTCATGTCCTGATGCACGCTCAATGAGGGAGTGGTGGCGCAGAGGTTGGAGAAGATGGGCCTGTGATCGGAAAGTTGCAGGTTCAACTCCCGGTACCATTAACATCAAAATGTGAGTGGAAAAGTTAAACATCCACACCTGCCTCCACCCTCATCTGCCCCACTCTGGGCCCCTGAGCAAGGCACTTAACCCCCACCATCTGCTCTGAAACAGGTCTCTGTTGAAAATGAGTTCTTGTGACTCAGTGAGACGACCTGGATAAATAAAGGTAAATAAAAAAATAAAACGCTCAAAGATTGATTTTATCTCTTCTCTGTCCAGAATATGTCCATGTCCTCAGTTAAAAGTCCAGTTGTCCTTGAATGAAATTCCTACAGTTACGGTGCCTCTGACGACTGAGAGCTGTGGACAGCAGCAGATCATTAAACCCTCGGGACTCGGCACTAATCAATAACTCGTAATACCACGCGGGATCACAGCATTCCTTCATTTTCAAACCGTCTGAATGTTTGAAGTTTGAGCTCGCACCGTCGTCTCCCAAAGTGTGTGTTTGGTATAAACCTCAGCTACTACCACTCAGTTTGATCTGCCCAGCTCATAAGTCACGGCCTTCTTCTTTTCTAAAGTCAGTTGGCTGCGGTGGCCATCTTGAATTGGACCGACTCAAAGGGGTGATCAGTTTTAGACGACCTGCTACGGATCTCTTGAGAGTCTCATAAACTCTTTCCTGGTTCACGAGATATTTTCTTAACGGACACGAACAAGGGACAAACGCTCGAGCCTGCTTTTCATGGAGACGTGCGGTGAATAGATTTAGTTTTGAATCTGTTTCGTTCACAGCCCCCGCTGCTTGGCTTGCTAAACCAAATCATAGAACTAGAACACGATGTTCAAAAAGTTGACCACGACTTTTTGTACCTCAGTAATGTTCAACAAAACTTGGGTACACTTTGTGTCTTTTTATTACGTTTACAGCTTCGTCTTAATGAAACATGACGAACATCAACAGAACGATGACCCAGTGACTGAGTCACTGAACACCGAGGCGTCAAAAGGATCAATGACGTAATTCTGTATAAAAATGACCGTAGAGCAGCGACACACAGCGAGCCAGTTTGTAGTTGGTCTCATTTACGTTTGTTTATTTTCAACAGCTCACCCAAGAGAAGATTGCGTGTCTGCCCAGCCACGTCACCAGCCCAACGCCAGAGGCCATCGACTGCAGCCACATCCGCAACTACAGGGACAACGAAACATCTCAGAGCGCCTCGGACAAGCCTGAAAGCCCCGTCATCCAGGAGGTGTTTGGTCGCAAGAACAACCTGGACATTCACCAGTACGTGTTCGTCAACCACTACTGCTATGAGAGGGCTGTGCACTGGTACGCCAAGTACTTCCCATACCTTGTTGTGATCCACACCATGATCTTCATGGTGGCGAGCAGCTTCTGGTTCAAATTCCCTGGAACGTCCTCCAAAATCGACCTGTTTGTCTCCATTCTTACCAAGTGCTTTGACTCGCCCTGGACAACGAGGGCCTTGAACGAGGTTTCAGAGGAAAGAGGAGAGGAGAAGCTGGTGATCTTGAGGAGAAACACCTTGTCTAAGGATTTTGTAGAACGGCGAGCAGACGAGGAGGAGACTGTAGGGCTCCTACGCTCCCCCTCGGTCAAGTCTAATCCAGAAAAGAAAAGTCCCGAGCCTCAGACGACTCTCTCTGTGCTGGACAAGAAGGAGGGGGAGCAGGCCAAAGCTCTTTTTGAAAAGGTGAAGAAGTTTCGGACTCACGTAGAGGAGGCTGACATCTTGTATCTCATGTATGTGCTGCAAACGTCGCTAAAAGTTCTCAAGTTCCTGCTTATCATTGTTTACACCGCGGTGCTGGCTCAGAACATTGAAATAGTCGTACGCTGCCACGTTCCTCCTGAGCTGACTGGCTTTCATATTTATTGTTGTAACCACAACAAAGCCCACTTGTTCTCCAAGCTTGCCTACTGCTACATCTGCTTTGTGGGAGTGTATGGAGTCATGTGCATCTACACCCTCTACTGGGTGTTCCACCGACCTCTGAAGGAGTACTCCTTTGAGCACGTACGTCTGGAGACGGGAATCAAAGACATACCAGATATGAAGAATGATTTTGCATTCCTCCTGCACCTTGTGGACCAGTATGATCCTCTGTATTCTAAAAGGTTTGCCGTGTTTCTTTCTGAAGTCAGCGAGAGCCGCCTCCATCAACTCAACCTTAACTATGAGTGGACCCCTAAAAAACTGCGTGCCCGTCTCACCAAGAACTGCAGGAATCTGCTGGAGCTCCATCTTTTAATGTTGCCGGGGCTTCCTGACACGGTTTTTGAGCTTCCCGAACTGGAATCGCTCAAACTGGAGCAAGTGAACAATGTTACCATTCCAGCTGGGGTGGCAAAGCTGGACTCTCTGCAGGAGTTGTCGCTGATCTACTCTCCTGCGAAGCTTCAACTGTCCGCCCTGAACCACCTCAAGGAGCAGTTAAAGGTTTTACGTCTGACGTTTGAGAATCCAGAGGAGATTCCTGTGTGGATGTATACCCTTCATGGTCTCGAGGAGTTATACCTCAGTGGTCCTTTAACCAGTGAGGTATCCAAGGGTGCTACTCTGGAATCCCTGCGAGACCTCCGATCCCTGAGTCTCCTCTCCCTCCGATCCAGCCTCAGAAAGATCCCACCCACTGTGGCGGATCTCGCGTCCCAGCTGCAACGTTTGAGCATTCACAATGAAGGGGTCAAGCTCCAAGTGTTCAGCAGCCTGAAGAAGTTAACGGCTCTAGTTTCACTGGAGTTATCTGGGTGTGACCTTGAACGCATCCCTAGCGCCGTCTTCAGCCTGAACAATCTGCAGGAGTTGGACCTGAAGGAGAACAAACTCACGACCGTGGAAGAGATTCTGAGCCTGCAGCACTGCCGGCGTTTGGTGACGCTTCGACTGTGGCACAATAAAATCACCTACATCCCCGACCACATCAGTAAGTTGTCCACACTGGAGACGCTCGACATCAGCTGGAACAAGCTTCGGAAACTTCCGTCACGGCTCTTCTACTGCACCAAACTCAGGCACCTCGACGCCTCCCACAACCAGCTCACTTCTCTTCCTCCTGAAGTGAGCGTCCTGCAGGGTCTTCAGTACTTTTCTGCCGCCTTCAACTCCTTGGAGTCGCTGCCGGAGGAACTGTTCTCCTGTAAAAGACTCAGGACGCTAGTTCTTGGGAACAACTGCCTGCCGTCTCTTAGCTCGAGAGTGTCCAACTTGGCCCAGCTGGTGCGACTGGATATCAAAGGGAACCGCTTGGAGTCTCTTCCAGTGGAGATAGGGGACTGTCCTCTGCTGAGACGCAGCGGGCTGATGGTGGAGGACGGTCTGTATGACCTTCTGCCATCAGAGGTACGCAACAAAATGAACCAAGGTAAAGACTGAAGACGTTTTTTATGAAGAGTTGTCGTTGGATAAAATGTCAAACCCACTACTGATCAAAAACTGAGACCCGTTTGCAGATTGTGCTCCGAAAATAACAGGAACAATATTTGTTGTTGTGTGTTTTTTACAACTTCCTTTTTATAATTTTATTTCCTGGGGGTGCTTGTTTTATTCACAGAGACGATGTTGGGGAAAGATCTGACGAACATTTTGAACAAATAAAACAACGAAGGCTTCGAAGCTTTTCAGCCTTCATTCTTACCTCAAACTTGTTTTTTTGGATTTTTTCTTGTTAAACAGGTTTTCACTGAACAAACAGGACGGTCCTGCTCTGTGTCGGGTCATGTTCTGACCCGGTTCTGAAACGAAACGTGAACAATTCCTTTCAGAAGAGATGAAATGGACTCGTCGTATTTTCAAGTTCAAGTAGATTTCCTGTCATTTCACCACATGTGGTATATGAGGTGGAATTATGTTCACAGGGTCCCGGAGCCAACAATTACAAAATATAAAGTGTTAAAAGAAACGGTAAATAAGGATCTAAGATACACGCTAAGATACACGCTAAGATACACACTAAACACTAATAATGTAAAACAAAACGACGTAACAACAGCAGCACGAACATGAGTCTGATGAGCAGATGGGTACGGATGAATACGGCAGTATGAGATCAGCAGCAACATAAAACAGATCAGGGGGTGTAGATGTTTTTGTTCCTTCTGAAGTCCACAATCATCTCCTTCATCTTCTTCACATTGATGTGAAGGTTATTCTCTCTGCACCAGCTCTCCAGGTGTTCCACCTCCTGCCTGTAGCTGGACTCATTGTTTGTGATGCATCCCACCACCGCTGTATCATCTGCAAACTTTACAATGTGACAGCCTGGATGGGTAGCTGCACAATCATACGTGAGCAGAGTGAACAGGAGGGGGCTCAACACACATCCCTGAGGAGAGCCAATGGTTATGATGGAGAAGTTGTGGATCCTCACTAACTGTGGTCTGTTTGTTAAAAAGTCTAGTACCCAGTTGCAGATGGAGGGGCTTAGTCCTAGTGTGGATAGTTTGTCCATCAGGGTTTGGGGATCATGGTGTTGAAGGCGGACGTGAAGTCCACAAAGATCTTACGGACGTAGGAGTCCTTCTGCTCCAGGTGGTTGAGCGCAGTGTGGACCACAGAGGAGATGGTGTCTTCATTTGATCGGTTCTCACGGTATGAGTACTGATGAGGGTCCTTGTTGATGTTGATGGTTGTGTTGATGTGGGTCATGACCAGTTTTTCGAAGCATTTAGTGACTGTCAGGGTGAGGGCCACTGGTCGATAGTCATTCAGACCAGTCACTGTAGAGTTCTGAGGAACTGGGATGATCGTGATGGTCTTCAGGTAGATGGGAACTGTTGCCAGGGTGAAAGAAGAGTTAAAGATGTCTGCCAGCACCTCGCAGAGCTGATCAGCACAGGACCTTCCCCGGGATGTTGTTTGGGCCAGGTGCTTTGTGAGGATTAATCCTCTTGAAGGTCCTCCTCACTTCTGCTGAGGAAGTCCTTCAGATGGTGAGGTGAGTCTGGTGCTGGGTGGTCTGTTCAAAGTGTGTAGAACTTGTTGAGGGCATCAGGCAGTGATGGGTCTCTAGAGCGTTGTTCACCTCTGCCTTCATAATGTGTTCTACACTTGATGCCCCTCCACAAGCTCCGAGGGTCTTGTGAGGAGAACTGAGCCTGGATCTTCTCTGCATGTGGCTTTGGTCCTCCTACCAGCAACCAGCTGGTTCCTTGTCCTCCCCAGTTCCTGTGAGTCCCCAGACCTGAAGACGGTCCCTGATTTCCAGCAGAGTACGGACCTCTGGATTTTATCAACTGGAAAACAAAGTTAATTCACGTATGAAAAATTAAAGCTTTTTTTTTTTTTTACAGTAAAACGTAAAACTAAAATTATACGTTTGAACTAATTTATATCTTTTTAATTTAAATTACCAGGGAAATTAAGTTAGAAATAATTAATATTTTAAAAACAGACATGAAGAAATGCATTAAATTATTTTAGTGAAACGTAAAAAAACGTACGATTGTGTCAGGGATGACTCTCAGCTACTACCACGCAAGTTTCAGCTCAATGTTTGTGAGAGCCACGAGTTTGAGCTCGTTTAGTGTTGCTTAACATGTTGCATGATTACTTCCTGAGGCTTTCCTTCATCCAGTTACTCTCTTTAACATGGAGACTGTTCATGTCCAAGTTTTAATCAAAGATCTAATGCAACCTGACCGTGTGTGAAGGATCACTCTCAGCTACTACCACACCAACTGTCTGTTTCAGTAAAAGTGACTGAGTTCAAAGTTTCAGGTCGCTCTGGGAGATTAGCTGTGGTGGACGTCCAGTGATTTTCTGAAGGTTTTATCCGTTTCCATCCAGAGGTTCATGAGTTATTTTGCTAACAGACCAACAAACAGGTGATAAATGTCTTTGTTCATATCTATAGTAGTTTTTATAACTGCATACTTTTAATGCACTTTAAATTAGTGCATTAAAGTTAACTGCAGTAAAGTGTTAATGGAGTAAAGACAGAAGTTTATAGAAAGCGTTCCTCCTCCTCAGTGAGTCTTTCATGTCACGTGCTCCAAACCTCAGCCGCCCCGTGAGCTCGTGTTCCGGCTCGTAGGACCTCGAACAGAATCCTGACGTCAGACCTTCGTACCGCCCACGCCTGAAGACTTCCAGCTGCTGAAGCAGAAGCTAACGGCTGCTCCGCCTGTCAGTCTCCCTGAGTGGCACTCGGGCGTGTCACCTGTGGTAACCAGACAGGAAGTGACTCGCGTGCGTCTTCATGGTGGCTGCAGTCTGACACGAATGATGTCATCACGAATGACGTCATCACCCAAACGTGTTTCCACGTTGGGTTATGCATAAACAACATCTTACTTGTTGCAGATGGTTCATAAAAAGGTCCAACAGGACGGACGAGTTGACGATGTGGACTGCTGCCGTCTGAACAAGAAGTTTTAAACCCAGAACTAAATAAAAAGCAGCAGCAGCAGCTAACTGTAGCACTTCCTGCCGTAACATCATTGTTTTTGTGTAACTAACCATTTATCGCAAAACATCGGATGAAACGACTCCATGAACTTTCATCGTCCGAAAGATGAAAAGGATTTTGTATAGTCTGACAGTTAATCACAGTGGACCACGTTTCCAAAGTCTCCTTTAATCAAAACTAAACATTTTAAAGTCGTATTTAAACAAACGGCAGCGCGAGAAGAGCTGCGTGGACAAACTCGTGCTCGTCCTCCGTCACTTCAGCTTCTTGCTTCCACTCCTCACTAGTTTTAAACATTTTGGTATGAAATTGATGAGCATCTTCTTCTTTCAGTTCCACAGCGAGTCCTCCTCCATCTCTCTGTCCTCACTCTGTCCTCTGTGTCCTCTGTCCTCACTCCAACTACCTCCCTGTCCTCTCTAACTGCATCCATCTATCTCCTCTTTGTCTTTTTCCTGCAGCTGCATTTCTAACATCCTTCTACCAATATACCCACTGTCCCTCCTCTGGACATGTCCAAACCACTGTCCCTCCTCTGGACATGTCCAAACCACTGTCCCTCCTCTGAACATGTCCAAACCACTGTCCCTCCTCTAGACATGTCCAAACCACTGTCCCTCCTCTGGACATGTCCAAACCATCTCAGTGTGTCCTCTCTAACTTTACCTCCCAGTTGTTCAACCTGTGCTGGACAGTGGACCCCAAGTCCTTGAAGTCCTGCACCTTTGTGACCTCTGCTCCTTGTAGCCTCACTGTTCCACCTCCTCCCTCCCATTCACACGTGTCACAAATGTTAAAAACGACGTTGGGCCGTGAGGTCAGATCTCAGCAGCTCTAAACATCTCGAGTAAACACTTATTTACTCTGAAGCTGTAAACAAACAACACGTTACAGAGACCAACATGATTTATACTTTTCTACACAGACGCACGAGGTCCGATCAGAAATACTCATATTTTGAACTTGTTTTATTTGATCTTAGAAAGACCTCAGACGTTTGATTGCTCAAGTGTCACTTAAAAAACATCAAGTCAGATAAATAAAGAAGTAACTTTATTTATTCTGGTGTTTGTTTGTCACTCCTCTGAAATAAAGTGATGTCATCACGGCCTGAGTGTTTGTTCAGGTGGGGCCGGTTCTGTTAGTGTACAGAACCTGCAGAACAAAGCGCCCACAGTCCTGTTTACTCAGGAAGTATCCAGTACCACAACAACACGCCCTCACTGGGCTCGGGCTAAATAAAGGCCCGGAGCCTAAAACTGGATCTGGTGTCAGTTCTGGACTAAGCTGCCTAAAATAGTTCTGATTTGAACAACACGACCCGTCAGCCCTGTGAGCAGAACTCTTTTAAACTGAAAGTGTTGAACCGTAACTTTTGTCTCCGGTGAAACCAGAACAAACCCGTCACTGTGCCCTGAGAGCTGGGAGCGCCAGCAGGCCCGCCGGTCCGGACAGAACCGGCTTTCAGTTCCACCGGGGTCACCTCTACGGCCTTCTGAAAGCTTCTCTTTGTGTTGCTCGCTCTGTCCTTGAATCACCTGGAGGAACCATTCAAGTTCTTTTTGTAAAAAAAACAAACGTTTAATCTGGACGTCCATTTAAAGGGATATTCTGGCTGTTTTAAAGTGAAGTTTGGTCAAATAGTACCTTATTGGCAGAGAGTGGAGCAACAAATGACTAAAGTGTTTGTTTAGTTGTTTTTCAGCCTCATAAAACAAGCTTTTGTCAAAAACAACACACCTTGGTTAGACGCAGCCTCAGTTCGGTTGGTGGTACGTGTTCGGTGAAAAAAAACGACGAACTGAACGGTGACCTGCTGAAGCGTTTTAGTATTAACCCACAAAAAGGTCTTTCAAACCTTATCCGGGGTCGGGTTGCGGGGGTAACAGCCTAAGTAGGGAGGCCCAGACTTCCCTCTCCCCAGCCACTTGGTCCAGCTCTTCCAGGGGAATCCTGAGGCGTTCCCAGGCCAGCCATGAAACATAGTCCCTCCAGCGTGTCCTGGGTCTTCCTCTGGGTCTCCTCCCAGTGGGACGTGTCCGGAACACCTCACCAGGGAGGCATCCAGGAGGCATCCTAACCAAAGCTCATGTTCATAGATGAGGGTAGGAACGTAGATCGTAAATTGTAAATTGAGAGCTTCGCCTTTTGACTCAGCTCTCTCTTCACCACAACAGACCAGTACAGTGCCCACTTCACTGCAGACGCCGCACCTATCCGCCTATCGATTTCTTACTCCAATTTCCCTCATTCGTGAACAAGACCCTGAGATACTTGAGCTCCTCCACTTGGGGCAGGACCTCTGACCCGGAGAGGGCACACTTCCCTTTTCTGGCTCAAGACCATGGCCTCGGATTTGGAGGAACTGATCCTCATCCCGGCCGCGTCACAATCAGCTGTGAACCGCTCCAGTGAAAGTTGTAGATCAATGACCTGATGAAGCCAACAGGACCACATCATCTGCAAAAAGCAGACACACGATCCTAAGGCCACCAAAACGGATCCCCTCAACACCTTGGCTGCGCCTAGAAATTCTATCCATAAAAGTTATGAACAGAATCCGTGACAAAGGGCAACCTTGGTGGAGTCCAACTCTCACCAAGAACGAGTCCGACTTACTGCCAGCAATGCAGACCAGGCTCTGACACTGGTCGTACAGGGACCTAACAACCCATATCAAAGGGTCTGGTACCCCATACTCCCGGAGTACCTCCGACAGGGTTCCTAGAGGGACGCGGTCGAACGCCTTCTCCAAGTCCACAAAGCACATGTAGACTGGTTGGGCAAACTCCCACGCTCCCTCCAGGACCCTGCTGAGGGTGTAGAGCTGGTCAAGTGTTCCATGACCAGGACGAAAACCGTACTGTTCCTCCTGAATCCAAGGTTCGACTATCCGATGGACTCTCCTCTCCAGAACCCCCGAATAGACCTTACGAGGGAGGCTTAAGTGCGTGAGCCCCCTGTAGTTGGAACACACTCTACGGTCCCCCTTTTTGAATAGGGGGACCACCACCCCAGTCTGCCAATCCAGGGGAACTGCCCCCGATGTCCACGCAATATTGCAGAGTCGTGTAAGCCAACACAAACCCACAACATCCAGTGCTTAAGGAACTCCGGGCGAATCTCATGCACCCCCAGGGCCCTGCCACCGAGGAGCTTTTTAACCACCTTGGTGACCTCAGCACCAGAGATTGGAGAGCCCAACCCAAAGTCCTCAGGTTCTGCTTCCTCAGTGGAAGATGTGCCGGTGGGATTGAGGAGGTCTTTGAAGTATTCTGTCTACCGACCCACTACATCCCAAGTTGAGGTCAGCAGCACACCACCTCTACTATAAACAGTGTTTGGTGCATAAGCACAAACAACAGTCAGAACCCGTACCCCCCACATGTAGGCAGAGGGAGACTACTCTCTCGTTCACCAGGGTGAACCCCAACGTACAGGCACCAAGATGGGGGCAACAAGTATGCCCACTCCTGCTCGGAACCTCTCACCAGGGGCAACTCCAGAGTGGAAGAGTGTCCAACCACTCTCAAAGAAACTGGTTCCAGAGCCAGAGCCATGCGTCGATGTGAGTCCGACTATTTCTAGCCGGAACCTCTCAACCTCACACACCAGCTCAGGCTCCTTCCATGCCAGAGAGGTGACACATCCCAATAGCCAGCTTCTGTAGCCAAGGATCAGACTGCCAAGGTCCCCGCCCTCGGCCACCACCCATCCCACATTGCACCCAACCCATTTGGCCCCTCCCACAGATGATGAGCCCATGGGAAGGGGGACCCACGTCTCCTATTCGGGCTGTGCCCGACTGGGCTCCATGGGTAAAAGCCCAGCCACCAGGCGCTCGCCAGCATGCCCCACGTCCAGGCCTGGTTCCAGAGTGAGGCCCTGGTGCCCCATGTCCATGATTCAATTAATTTTAATTATCATAGGGGTTTTTGGGCTGCACTTTGTCTGGTCCCTCACCTAGGACCTGTCTTCCTTGGGTGACACTACTAGGGGCATGAAGCTTCTAGGATCATTGGGAAACTCAAACCCCTCCACCACAGTAAGGTGGCAGCCCAGGGAGGGGTTTCATGTAGCCTGAAAATGTATGACTGATGTCACAGCTGATGACCTAGTAGAATTTAAAATGACCAGACTGTCTCTTTATGGTTTGAAATACTGAAAATGCAGCACAGTACACCACTGATGATAAATAATGTTACCTGCTCCTTTCCTGCAGGGTTCCGCAGGGCTCGATTCTTGGACACCTTCTGCTTTCATTCTATCTGCTCCCTTTGGAGTCTATCCTGAGGAAACATGGTCTTTCATTTCATTGTTATGCTGATGATTGTCAGATTTATCTGCTCTTAAAACCCAACAGTTCTTGCTCCATTCACCTTCTGTTAAAATGTCTTGACAAGCTATGGATGGCTTCCAACATTTTTCAGTCAGGTCATCTGGACAGTTTCTTTTTTTGTGCTGAAACGTTTAGCCTTCGATCCGGAAGGCTTCATCAGTCAAGGAAACGCACAACTTGTTCCTTCCTTCCCCTCTTCCTACCAGTTTGACAAGACTGTCAACAAGGAAGAGGGCTGGCAATGGAGGAGGGGCGTACCAAAGAGACCATCTTATCACAAGCAGAACTGGTTTGTTCCACTTTGGAGTAAGCTGTTGGAGGAAGAATCAGTTTTGTTGTGTGTTTCCTGGACTGATGAAGCCTTCTGGATCGAAGGCGAATTGTTTCAGCACAAAAAAAAAGAAACTGTCCAGATGACCTGACTGAAAAATGTTGGATTTTATACCTGGATTATTGAGCATGGACTTTATTGAGCATGGACTTTGTTGTATGGATGGCTTGATTTTTTTTAAAGTTTCAAAGATCAGAAGACTGAAGTCCTCGTGTTTAGCCCTAGCTCTACTGCTGACTCTGATCCTGTCAACCTGGACTCTCTTCAGCTGTATCTTAATCACGTCTGTTACAAACCTCAGGACGGTTTTAGACTCTGACTTTAAGTTTAATAAACAGATCAACTCTGTTCTGCAGAAAAGCTTCTTCCAGTTTAGGCAGACCGTTAAGCTGAAGTCTGTGTTGACCAGATCTGACCTTGAAAAAAATAGTCCATGCCTTCATTACAACCCGACTGGACTACTGTAACCCACGTTGTGTCGGGGTCAGGTCTCTTTCACGTGATGTCTCCAGCTCGTCCAAAATGCTGCAGCTTGACTCTTAACAGGAACTTGTAGGTTTGATCACATTTCACGGGTTCTGTCCTCCCTTCCCTGGCTCCCTGTACCAGAACAGATTTTAAAATTCTCCTGTTGACCTTTAGGTGCCTAAATGACCTTGCACCCTGATCTGTCTCTGAGCTGCTGGAACCACATGTTCCTTCTTGGGTGCTGAGATAATCTGACCAGCTGCTTTTGGCTGTTCCAAAAACCAGTTTGAAGCTCAGAGGTTTTTTCAGTCATTGGACCTAAACTCTGGGACAACCTGCCCCCCCCCCCCCCACTTCCTGTTTTAAAACACACCTGTATTCACAGACGTTAACACCGTGTGATATTTAGTTTTAATGTTTTTCTTTTGATGCTTTTAATAAATGTTATTTTTTATTTACTACCATTGATTTTATTGTTAAGCATTCTGGTAACAGCTGTTTTGCATGTGCTTTATAAATAAATGTAACGAGACATCAGCTTGAGAGCAGACAATTATTCCAGCTTCTTCTCAGACGTGTCAAACCTTCACTTTGATCCAGACACGAATAAAAAAGACGTCAGGACTTCAAGTTCAAAACTTTATTTTGCATCTGCAAATATTAAAGTGAATAATCTCACTTGTCTTAAAGGTATTTGTATAAATAACATTTCAACAAATCACAATAAAAGTTGCTATTTACAGGAATATTAAGTCCTATTTCAACAATAAATAGAGTAAATTCAAAGTCTAGGTACATCTAGTGAAGAGAAACAACTATGCAAAGCAATCGGGGCGCACCACGTCAAGTTTGGTCGTTTTAAAAAGACTCATACGCGTGTATGGACTCCTACAGTCCTTACACAACCAACAGGATGCACGAATAAGATAACACTGGACAACTATGAACAAATGTGCACTCCCAATTAAAGGGACAACAGATCAATGTAAATTAAAGTGCCTAAACTGCACTGTGCAAAAGGTGTCTACAGTATATAGCCACCCATCCACTGAAAACAAGCTGCCAAGACAATGTGTCCCGTCATTAATGCTGAACTACCAAAACACCAACATCCTTTGTACAACCACGGATTCAAGGCGCCACGCATCGAAGCAGAAAGAAAGCGTTCCAGTTACACGCTAACTGTGGACGTGAGCAAAGAGGGCGTCCATCATATGGGGCACACACGAGGCTCGGGCCACGTCTACCGCCGTCTGACCGCTGACGGTGGCGTGTTTCAGGTCCGACTGGGGCGCCAAGAACTCCACCACGTCCCGGTGGCCTTCCCGGATGGCGATGTGAATGGGCAGGGCGCCGTTCTGATCCGGGAGGTTCACGGAGGCGCCGTGCTCCACCAGGACCTGGAGGGTGTCGAGGAACCCCGTCCGCGCTGCGTCGTGGGCGGGCGCTATGCCGTGTTTGTCCTGAACGTTGGGGTCCGCCCCTTTCTCCAGCAGCAAGCCTGCGATTTTGGCGTTCCCCATCATCATCACCTGGTGGAGACATTAAAAACACGTTTGTGTTTTAGGAACTTGTGACGAATGTAAAGTCTTAAGAAAATCATTTGTTTTAACCAACATCTCCACACGAGACCTCCATCCACACAACTTGTGCTGAATAAAACCCTAAAATGTGTTGGAGTGAAATTATGCCAATTTACAGAACGACCACGTTGAAACCTTTGTAAAGAATTACTGACATTTAGCAGCACGCGTATGAAGTAGAGCTGAAACTATTGGTAGTTAGTCACTCGTATCATACAACACGAGGTCAGGCAGGAATCCCCGTGTATGATGATGATGTTTGCAGATGACATCGAGATCTGTGGTGAGAACAGGGAACAGGTGGAAGAGAACTTGGAGAGGTGGAGGTATGCACTTGAAAGAAGAGGAATGAAAGTCAGCCGTAGTAAGACAGAGTACATGTGTGTGAATGAGAGGGAGGAGGAGGAACAGTGAGGCTACAAGGAGCAGAGGTCACAAAGGTGCAGGACTTCAAGGACTTGGGGTCCACTGTCCAGGAACATGGGGAGTGTGGTGAAGAGGTGAAGAAGAGAGTCCAGGCAGGATGGAGTGATGGAGAAAAGTTTCAGGAGTGATTTGAGACAAAAGGGTGTCAGCAAAGGTCAAAGGAAAAGTTTACAAGACAGTTTTGAGACCAGCTATGTTGTATGGTCTGGAGACAGAGACATGGACAAAAAGACAGGAGACAGAACTGGAAGTGGCAGAAATGAAGATGTTGAGGTTCTTCTTAGGAGAGACAAGGATGGAGAAGATCAGGAATGAGATCATCAGAGGTACAGGTTGAACAACTGGGAGATAAAGTTAGAGAGGACACACTGAGATGGTTTGGACATGTCCAGAGGAGGGACAGTGGTTTGGACACGTCCAGAGGAGGGACAGTGGTTTGGACACGTCCAGAGGAGGGACAGTGGTCATACGTTTCATTCAGCCTTTATTTCTACAGGTTAGTCTCATTGAGCCTCGAGGACTCGTTTACAGAGAGACCTGGTTTATTTAAATTCAGTTTATTGAAACTGCCTCAAGTTGAGTTCAAGTATCTCGGGGTTTTGTTCAAGGTCAAGGTTCTTTATTGTCATTCACACCACGTGGTACATGTGGTGGAACAAATTTGTGCACACAAGGTCCCAGTTACATCCAACAAAAGTATAAATTCAGTTGTAAAGAAAAACTAATAAGATCTAAGATAAGAAGAAATACACTAAACTAAGAACACACTAAGCACTGGTGGTACAAGAACAACACACCGAACAGCAGCACGAACATGAGTCTGTGTGAGCAGATGAGGACGAATGAACACAGCAACATGAAACAGATCAGCAGCAGCATGAAACAGATCAGCAGCAACATGAAACAGATCAGCAGCAACATGGAACAGATCAGCAGCAACATGGAACAGATCAGCAGCAACATGTGATTTTTCACAGTGATTATTCTAGTTAGAGATTCATGAGTCTAACAGCCTCAGGGTAGAAGCTGTTCCTCAGTCTAGTGGTTCTACACTTAATGCTCCTCAACCTCCTTCCTGAGGGGAGTGGGGCAAAAAGTGTGTGTGCTGGGTGAGTGTGGTCCTTCATGATGCAAGTGGCCCTCTTCCTGCATCTGGAGGTGTAGATGTCTGTGATGGTGGGGAGACTGACTCCAACATCTTCTGTGCAGCCTTCACCACTCTCTGCAAAGCTTTTCTTTCTGCAGCTGTGCAGCCTCCATGCCACACGTTGATGCTGGAGCACAGGATGCTCTCCACTGCACACCTGTAGAAGGAGGTGAGGACAGAGGAACAGCTTCTACTCTGAATAAAAACTGTGAAAATCACATGTTGCTGCTGATCTGTTCCATGTTGCTGCTGATCTGTTTAATGTTGCTGCTGATCAGTTTCATGTTGCTGTGTTCATATGTCCTCATCTGCTCACACAGACTCGTGTTCGTGCTGCTGTTCAGTGTAATCCAACATTTTCCTTAACTGATGAAGCCTTCTGGATTGAAGGTGAAACGTTTCAGCACAAAATAAAAGAAACTGTCCAGATGATCTGACTGAAAAATTTTGGTGTACCTGGATTATTGAGCATGGACTTTGTTGTTCAGTGTAATGTTTTATGTTATGAGTGCTTAGTGTATATTTAGTTGATGTTTTTCTTACTTCATATCTTGGATGTTATTAGTGTTTTTATTTTACATTTTATTGTTGGATGTAACTGGGACCCTGTGAACATCATCTCGTTCCACCACGAGATGCAAATGACAAATCTCTCTGAATCTCTGTAGAGGCGTTCATGAGTGAGCGTGAGATTGACAGATCGGTGCAGCATCTGCAGTATTGTGGACTCTGCACCGGTCCGTTGTGGTGAAGAGGGAGCTGAACTATGAGACAAAGCTCTGTTTACAGGTCGATCTACAGTCCTACCCTCACCTTTAAGGCCTTTCATTTAGAGCTGTAGAGACAAAACACCAGGTGGACATGATCTTTAGCTCATGTTCAGCATGTGACAGAAATAATTCTACTTCTCTGTAGCTTACAGTTCACCAGGTAAAATGTGTTCAGCAGGAATCCACATCAGGTGGTTTGTGGCACACCTGTGGAACATGACGTCATGTGCCAGGTAAAGAGCCCACCTGTAGATGATGTCATGTGCGCAGGTAAAGAGCCCACCTGTAGATGACGTCATGTGCG